GCAAATAGAAGGGGACGATATGGAGGCGGTGACAGAGTTTACTTTCTTGGGCTCCATGATCACTGCAGGTGGTGACAGCAGCCATGAAATTAAAAGATGCTTCATGTGAGGAAAGCGATGACAAACCTAGACAGCATTTTAAAAATCAAAGACATTACCTTGCCAACAAAAGTCACAATAATCAAAGCTATGGTTTTTCCGGTAGTGATGTATGGAAGGGAGAGCTGGATCATAAAGAAGGCTGACTGCCAAAGAATTGATGCTTTTGAATTGTTGTACTGGAGGAGGCTCTTGAGAGTCCCCTGGACTGCAAGGAGAACAAACCTATCAGTTCTAAAGGAAATAAACGCTGAGTGCTCAGTGGAAGGACAGATCCTGAAGCTGAGGCTCCAATACTTTGGCCTTCTCTTGAGAAGCGAAGACTCCCTGGAAAAGACCCTGATGTTGGGAAAGTGTGAAGGCAAGAGGAGAAGGGGGCGACAGAGGACGAGGTGGTTGGACAGTGTCATCGAAGCTACCAACGTGAATTTGACAAAACTCCAGGAGACAGTGGAAGATAGGAGGGCCTGGCGTGCTCTGGTCCACAAAGAGTTGAACATGACTTAACAACTAAACAACAACAACATGAGATATGATAAACACCAGAGTAGGCCTGGGATTTTCTTTTTCCTCTTAAGCTTTGGTAAGTATTAAATAGATTAACATTAAATATGTGCATTTGGCTCCCATAGACTTTTCCAGTAATAAAAGTTTCAAAAGACAACAAGGAATATAGTTTTGTTCATAGAACTAAGTTTAAACTCAAACAGTTAATCATGTTTCCTTATACTGAAATGGTGCCCAATACGCTATTTACCAATAAGTGCTAGCATCTTGAGGAGAAACACTGTACATATTTTTCCCACACTTGAAATCTTATTTCATGCCTACAATTCTCTCCAAAAATGACAATCCTCACCACCACTACCACTGCACTTCTGATACCTGATCATACACTAAACACACCTTTCTTGTGAAGACATGTGCTTTGCCCTCTGACTCTACTGCTTTGAAATCATGCATCTGCCTCAAGCCATAGCTCTAAGTTACTCATGAGTTCTGGCAAATGTAAGACCACATGCTGACTTCTAGAATCTAGATTTACTATTTGTACTTTGTACAGTCCAGCTGAAATGTGAAACCTGAGATACAATGCTTCTATTTGACAAGCATCTTGGGTAAATTTGTTCCCCACATATTTCAGATCATGCAGTTTCAAGGCAGGGATGTGAAGACAGATGAGTGCTGTAGCTGAAGAAACCAGGTGTCTACATCATGCCAACCTAGTCATTTTTAAGTCCACACTTGAAGAATGTGTGGCATCTTCTGTCTGTCAGCCTGCTCAGAACTCCTAATTCCATTCCCTTGCTTTTCTCATCCACATCAAATCCTAGCCTAGAGCTCCCAGTTCTGATTACACAGCAAAGCCATTTCTTACATGAGTTCAGGTATATTTACTGCTAATATAAGTTGTCTACAAGGGAGAGAGGACATAAAAGCTTCAAAACAAAACAAACCATAACTAAGAGCAGAACTCCATAAAATACTAATAAATGGATTAAGCAAACCTTAGTAGCAACACATAATTTCTCAAATATAAGACTCTACAATATTTTGTTCCAGGTTGCACTTGTGCTTTTCAAGTTGCCATCTTCAAGTACCGCTCTCAATAACATCAACACTGGAGACATTCACATGCCATCTAAATCCTGCCCAGATTTCTGCACTCCTGTTAGCATGCTCAGGAAGTCAAGGTAAACTAATTTTCACATCACTTTGCAATGTTTATGCTGCTTACCCAACAGTGAATTCAATAAACAGAGTATCTGATACCTTATAGTAGTTATAAGACAACAGAACTGTAACAGAGCTCCATCAAGAGATGTGGGGCAAGAAAACAAATTATGTGCTGGTTCAGATTCATATAATGAGCACTGCTTCACATTAGGTTTGGGGTAAGATGGTAGGAAATTCACCTAAATATGCAGTTATCAACAACATCCCTAGGGTGACAGGAATATTCAATTCAAATGTACACTCCGAGTTCTAGATATACAGTACTTGTTTATAATATGAAGCATAAACACTGTTTGTGGGATGTGTCTCTTCCCTTATTCCTTTCTCCTCTTACACACTGGCTTTAGAAAGGAAACTGTGTTTTGTTCCTGGTTACATTTAAAGCAGGATACTCTGGTTTGAAGTTGGTTAATTAACCTGGATACTAAGCCAGAGTGAAGTACAAAAGGGCAAGGAAGAGTATGTGCCCCTTCTGCTCATTTCCAGTTTTCACAAATTATGATTTATGAAGGTGGAAGATCACAGTTTATGAAGCCTGGAATGTAACACTCCAACTCAACTAGAATTGAATTAACAGAATCAACTCCTGATTTATATATCAATGTTTATATAAACCCTATTAATTCAGCAATTCTACTCTTACTGGATTTAAGCCTAAAAAAACATTTAGGAGCTTTATCTAACCTTACTATATAGATTGCTTCTGGGTAGAATTCGTTAGACAAAGTAGAAAATAAAAAGTCTGACAAAGCATCATCCACTTTATCAAAGAACAAAACAAAAAGAACAAAGTACCAACCCACAAAAACCTAACCGAAGAATATTACAATATCTAATACAATAAAAACAGGTAACAGGGATAAGATTCTTACTGGTTTTGACGCTGAATTTTATAACATCTTGGCAAAACTGCAAGAGTTTCTGATGTGTCTCTCCTAGGTCTTTCAATTCCAAATCAAGAAGAGTTTTCAGCTTTTCAGGAGGGTGCCATTCACACACCTAATTAAAGGAGAATATTAGGTCAGTGGAAATAAATTAAATGATGACAAAACTTAAAATTATGTGAGGACATTTTCTAAATATTTTGCAACACACATTATAAAAGGAAACTGACTTTTAAAAAACTGATCTGAAAACTGTCCTGATTGTTTTAGAATTTTTAAGTCAATTTTTCCTTTATTAAAGCAAGTTTATACCTTACTAAAGTTAGCTTAACAATTGTCATCTAAATTAAAACCAAAACAGATCTCTAACACAACATTCAAGACCATGTATCACAGATACATTACTTACTGCATAACAACTCCGATTCAGCACTATATGAAATCTTTGCATAAATCTCCCATTGCCAGCTCTCTCATTTATAGATACACAACAAAACAATAAACGGTTCTGTTATGCTTGTGCAGATTAAAAAAATGCTCACCAACTTTTATCTTGGGATAGACTACATAAGAACAAACCGGATTCCAGTTTAGTATTGCTAAATTCAAATGTCAAGAAAAGAAGGTTTTGTGCTAATTATATTGTATATACAAAAGTATTGCATTTAAGATTTCTACCTTTTCTGATACATCAGCAGCCTTCTTTATCACCTCTTCCATAATAATCTTACTGGCCTCTTCCACAAATTTTTCTCCTGCTTTTGCATCTGCTACTGGGCCATTTAAAATTACACCATCCACTAAGATTGCATTTTTCCTTCTCTGCAGGAGCTCCTGCTGGTTATTTGTTTTAGCTGTACATGATAAAGGTAAAATAGAGGAAAATTAAATAACATCATATGCAGAATTAAAGTACAATATCACCACAATAAAGACAAGATTACAAAATGGCAACAATTCTATGCGATCAAGATAGCAGCCTTGGAAGTGTTCACAGAGTGGTGAATTTGTTTATAATTGTAACAAGGAATTAGTAGATAACATTTTAAAGTTTAGAGAACAGCTGGAGGAAGAATCAAACCCTTTAATATGACCCTTCCTGCTTTAATGTTTCAAAACATTCATACACTATGGAGAAAGAAATAAACCCAGTCCCTAGTTATCAGGGATCTAAGCAATGTTTACTGTGGTAGATGCACAACTGTAAGACGCATATGTTACTGAAAAGACAACAGAACTGGAGTGAAAAAAATTACCAGGATGTATGAATATAATTAGGAGTACTGAACAAATATAATTTCTCCATCACAGAGAAAACTCTTTCTCCCTCACAAGAGAAAGATGCTTGAACCACTTCTTTCATCAGAGCAGCTGGCTTGCTGGGGGACTGTTAACTCCTCTAATTCAAATGAGGCTTGTTTTTCCATTTGCCAAGGAACCATGAAAAAAGTATAAGATAGGATGGTAGCAAACATGAGTGTCAGAAAGAAAGAGTGATAATGGTGTGCGAAAGACTCACTAAGCACAGACAGATAAAGCAAGCTTTGAATTCACAACTGGAAAGTCAGTGGAAGCTTCATTCAGGAAATCCAAATTGTATCATCATTTTGATTTATAGGAGAACTGACATTTCCAGTCCTAGAGCAAATATAAATCCAATTAACATCACTGAGGAACTACATTTAGCTCAGTTTACAGGACAGATTACCCCAACCAGGCTTCTCTTGCACAGAGGTCAATACTATCCATAGGTACCCTAATGCACATGAACTCTTATCTGCAACCTATATTCTCTGTTTTTGCACGATGCAATCCCAAAATTGGACCTTATGCATATTGCACTGTACATGTACTGGTTGCTACAAAAGGATCTTGAGCATTTAGTAGGTAAAAACAGGAACAACAGTTATGATGTTACTGTCCCCTCACATGTACATAGTTATATAATTTGACTATGCGCACAGGGGTCTGGAAACAGGTATACAAACACTGGTGATTTGGAAGTGAGATTATCTGTCATCATTCTTGGGCAGATGTTTGGGTGTTTCAGCCACAAATCCATGTTCTACAGATTTGTCAAGTACACTTTAGTCAAGTGGTGGTCATCCCCTCCAACCCAAGTGGGGCTACAAACACCTAAACAGCGTTAAATTTAATATCTGCTGCTACTGACCTATCTTTATATCCTCCCTTCCAGGGAGATTATTCACCCAGTTCTTACAGTGAAGGTATGTAGAGAAACCATCTTAGTTGCCCTTTTGTTCAAGACTCTTCCAAATTTCAAGTATCTCATAAAGACTTTATAATGTATTCTGGCTGGGTCTTTTGTGGTCTAGCGAAAAGGATATGCAGTGAGCAAAGGAGGACAATTACACACAAGTAGGCAAAAGCTCCCTGACTTTTGACACTTATGTAGAAGAGGGCATGTCCCAGCATATTCTGTTTGTCACACAGGAGTGACAGCATCTGCTCATTTTATGTACTGTATTTCTTCCCCCTACTGATAGTTTTAATTGACTTAACGTTATATTTTAAATTACATTTTTGCCGTCTGTTGCAAGCTTCTTAAACTGCCAAGCTTGAAAACAAATTCAAATAATTTAAATTTTATTATCAGATTTTTCAGCCACAGCTTTCCTCCACCCTATTGTTCCTATGTTTTTATCAGAAGCAGGTTATAATTTGAAAAAGGTCTTTTAAAATTATGATTACGATTTCTTGCTGTGAACTTCTCTCTCTCTCTCTCTCTTTCTTTCTTCACATGGCTTATTTTCCCCCAAACTGCATTAAAGCTCATAAAAGTGTTTTACACTGCAGAAACAGTCAAAGATCTGGCAAATTCATGTTGCTGCTCTAACTGATCCTCTTTATGTTTCTGTGTGTACAAAGCAGAAACTGAATTTGAGGATGTGCTGAAATGTATCAGCAATTGACAAAGGGACTCAAGGTTCATAAGTGAATGTCCATATACGACAGACAATCTAGAAAGCAAGATTTATTTACATACACTAGTTTAACAATGTTACCACCTGGTTATGTGTGCCATTGGTTCAACCAGGACTGCACTGCATTTAATTGGATTCCAGAAGCCTAAGCAAGCAATGGAAACTATAAGTACAAAAATTAACTGCTAACAAAAGTGTATCACAGTATTTTCATACACTGAAGTCCAAGTGTTATTAGCAAATTAAGAGAGGTGGTCAAAGTATAGCCCATGGGCTGCACATGGCAAACAGCCACGTGACCTCAGATGCTCCAACCCCCATTAAAAATATTCTGCAAATATGACATTTTTCATTCCTGAAACCCTGCAAGAGTGATTCTACTGCAATAAAATGGGATGCAGAATCCATATGCTTTCAGTTTGCAAGCAGGCTTCCAACAGTACTTGTTCATTTAGGAGCTGGTATAGCCTCTCACCCCCCCCCCCCNCGCCGCCTGTGATACCAAGGACAGAAATACCCCAGACAGTCTGAAATTGCCCACCATTACACCAGTACTAGAACAGAATTCACAACAGGTGTCAGTAGCACAACGTGAATGCAGAAAGTCTCCACACAGTGGTGTTGTCACCAATTATTCTGTTGCTGTTGTTTCAGACTTGAACAGATCATCACAAATACAAGGGGATGGCACACAAAATACTGTAGAGAATCATTTGTTGGATGGGACAAAGAAGAAAAGAGGCATAAGATGTCCAAACTCTGTAATCTTCATTCCGGCTATTCACAGGATGAGTGCTATTGCCAAAACAACAGCAGCCACACACCGATTTGCACAAGTACAAAACAAAAACCCTTAAAAAATATCTTGAAGGCAAAACCAGAAACAGCACCACAAGGACTAAACAGGTTCTGTGGCTACAATATGCTAACCAAATGCAGGGTGGGACAGGAGAAGAAAACCAGAAACACAGGGGAATGAAGTGGATGGAATTCTAGGAGAGTATACCACACTGCAATATTTTGTTGCAGAGTCTCACTTAACACAGTGAAGGGAAAGTGTATTGCTACAAAGCTTCAGACTGCAACTTGCAGGAAGCCTACCAAGTTCATCTTGTCCCAGAGAACACACACTAGCAACTACCATGGTAAAAGGACATGCCTTGCTGTGATAGGCTGAAAGAAGTTGTGGTTACAGATGTTTAAGAGGCTGCTGAAAATGCTTCTCTTCAAGAGGTTTTTGATGGCTGCCTCTTCTGAACCCTTCCACCCTCATTTTGCGGCTCTTTTAGCACCATTTGAGCTCAAGCCAGCTCTTGGTGTTGTTGTTTATGTTATGCTATACCATAAAGTTTTAACTATCCTCTATTTTAAGTTAATCTGCCCATATTAGGTTGGTGTATAAGTACCAGAAATAAATAAAATAAAAATTATGGCACCAGCTAAAATCAGGAAAATCCAGTGGTTCTGGAACCAGGGCAAGGATGTATTTGCTAACTATCAGAAATCATAGAGGACCGAAGAGTGGAATGGTTAAGTATCATATTCACACATGCTTTTTTCAGCCATTCCATCAGTCAAGCTCATTGATTAAAAGCTTTATTTAAAGGGATCTGGAATAAGTAGGTGGCAGTGGACAAAAAGCTTTGTGCTATATTATGTGTGTGTACATAGCAGAGATATCCATGCAATTGTGTTCTAATATGGAGCACCAGGAGCCCAGTGGTTATCTGTTTTTTTCACATGGGTTATCTTGGCTATCAACTACCAGGAATCTCTGATATAGTTTTAACTGCCAGGAAAAGGCCCAACAAGACATACAGTAAAGGCTTGTAGAAGGTGAGCATTTACCCCCAACAGGGGTGAGCCATCCCAAGTTCAAGAGAATGGCATGTGTAGTCACCCCAACTGCAGTGGAAAAGCAATCCCAATGGTCCTGTTTTAGGATGTGACTTGACAGAATTCCTAGTCTTAGTTGGAGTGGAGTTGACCGGAATTTGATTTTGTCAAACTTTCATAACTATAGTGAAGGCTGGGCTGAGTGAGGGAAAATTGGGAACATACCATGTTTTCCCGAAAATAAGACAGGGTCCTATATTAATTTTTGCTCCAAAATTGCATTAGGGCTTATTTTCAGGGGATGTTTTTTTTCATGTACAACCATCTACATTTATTCAAATACAGTCATGTCATCTTCTGGTTGCTGCACAATGGTGGAGGGCGGAGTTTCACTTAACTGGGGCTTATTTTTGGGGTAGGGCTTATATTACGAGTATCCTGAAAAATCATACTAGGGCTTATTTTCAGGTTAGGTCTTATTGCTCTTCTTTTTGCATCTCATTACATTTTTATTGATATACTGTGTGACTGTTTTACTTGTGCTCTTTATACACTACTGAGTTACTTACTGCCCACACTCCTGTTTATTGTCCCTGAGCAATGGAAATAACTGGGGGGGCCTTATTGTTCCAGTAGCCACCAGCACAAAGAGGCACAGCTGTTATTGTTTTTTTATAAGCCCAATGAACATTAGGAACTACTAGGAACTATCTCTTCTTCATTCTTTCCCCCAACAGAATTTGGGTTCTCCCCTCCAGACTGCATATGCCACTGGCAAACACCAGGAGAGTCTACAATGAGACAGTACTCATTTATGACTTCATTATGGAGGAAGAAGCACACTTTATGAATGAGATGCAACAGCTAATGGGCTGGGTTAAATCTCTTCCACAGAGGGGCAGTAGTACAGGACCAAGTGCCTCACAGGACTGATTCCCACTCAGTTTAGTTGAATGAGTATATAAATGGCAATGTGATCCAAAGAAAATGTCACCAAATGGTAGCAAATCAGTTCGTGCAATGACATTAGGATGATGCACATTTAAAGCATCAACGTCTCTTAAAGCATCTGC